CACCCCCCCTCTCCCCATCACATCATTCCCCCCTCAGTCTGCTCCCCATCACATCAGGTCTCCTATGATCAGAAACAGTGTCCTCATCCCTCTCAGCAGTACACTCCAACAGACTATGAGGAATTTTCAGTGCTGCATCCCCAGCTCTCCCTCTATGACACCACCTGAATGTGAATGTCCACCATTCTAGACCATCCACTTATTCTCCATCACACACATCACTGACATCACCCTCACCTCCTCACACATCACCTCCTTACCAAACGTGTTCTCAGTGTCCCCATTTCTCTTAGTGTAATGTCTTAGTGTTCCCAAGTCTCTCACCCCAGTGTCCCCATGTCTCACTGTTGACCCCGGACCACCAGGGAGCCCACTGGACCACCTGGGAATTAAGGTATTTAGCACATCTCACCCTCTCCCCATCACCCACCCTCCCTCACAACATCACCCCCCTCTCCCTATCACATCACCCCCCTCTCTCTCCCCATCACTCCCTTGTCACACCATCACCCCCTTACACATCCCCCCTCTCATTCCGGTACTCTGCAATCCGGCACAGGCTAGGCAGCCTCAAATACCTGATAAATACTTCTGAGAAATACCTGGCAACCCTAGGAAAAACCTGAGAACTACCTGGCAACCCTAAGAGTAGTGTGTAAAAAATAAATAATGTAAATCAATGGGCCTATTCCATGGGCTTGGGCCTGGAGCTGCAGCTCCATCAGCCCCTATATTAATCCGGCCCTGATTTTTGGATATGTTATTCACCGAGATCAGGGATGTAAAATATTTATGGGGATATGTTGGAGTTTTGGGGTGTTTCTGTACTTTGGGTAAAAATGTGTGTTTTCTGCCTGTGGATAATTGAGTTAGTCCATTGTATTTGCTATTTGCATCATAGGCAGAGGGGAGGGTTTGTGTACAGTAACTGGGAGTGTTCAAGTGTAAATCCTGGATTGTGAGTTTCATGTCCTGTGCCCAACAAGGTCCACCTGGGTGGTAACCTTGTGGGGAAATACTGTATAAAAGAAGCAGCTGCACCATTAAACCTTCAGTTCTACTTGACCCTCAACTCACAGCCTCATCTTGTGTTTGGAGGGGACAGTTATAATCACTACAGGGATTGCTATACCTGCTTCGCTCTCTGAAGGAAGAGTATTCTCTGTATGTGTGTGTGTCAGTGTTTGTCTGTATCTGTGTATGACTGTGTTTCTATGTAACTGCATGTGTGCACCTAGGTGTCTATGTATGTGTGCCAGTGTGTGTATATGTGAGGATATGTGCATACATCTCAGCATTTCGCCTACACTACACACAAATATAACCCTGCATCCAAATGTCAACACTACATAAAAGCACACCACCATATTTAAAAACCACACTACAGAAAAATGCACGTCTGCATTCAAATGCCAATACATGCAAATATAGGATCCGCCCCAGGTGCCAAATGCTCCAGGTATGCCCCTGGGCAGTAACGAGGCCCCTGCGCTGCTGGCATCTAATTGCATCCTCTGTGACTGATGTGGAGCAGGGCACTGGACATTCACTGACAACAGATTTTCTCTTCCTACACACAGTCTTGAATTGTGCCCCCCAGAGGCCGGCACCCTAGGCAAGTACCTGACTTGCCTAATGGTGGAACGGGCCAAAGGTGAAAATATATGGCTGAATGATCCTGTCATACATTAAAGGTTCAGACTAGTCTCAGCTCTTTTTCATTTTAAAACTTTGTTTTCAGATCGATTTCCTTTTAAAACTTGATGAAAAAAGTATTATGTTGAAACAATGTTTTCAGGTGACAGTTGTCTCTTAAAATCTTAAGAAGACACAGCCCCCCTTTAAGTTTTGAGTAAGGGGAAGAAGTTGTGTTATGCGCAGATATAAAATTGTTTCTGATGCGACATGTACAAATATATATTTTACCATGCCTTGTTCTAGCATACATTTTGCTGTCTCAGTTTTGCAAATCACAATTTATTGTGTAAAATAAAATAGGCAATAGTTCCATAAAGGTTCTATTTTAACCATGCTTGAAAATGACATCTCTATCTGCGTATAATAGCCATGCAGAAAATTATATTTCCAGACCTTGTTCCCACCTGTGTTCTTTAAAATCCCATTCATTTTCAGCCAGCCTCCTGAGGCCAGTGGGTATATTGAAAGAACAACGCTTCTGAAATTTCAGACACTAACTACGTTTCCCAATGTATTTATCATTTTGGGATAATTGGATCATATACCGTTGACATTCTGCAATATTTTCACAAATGACCTATCTTTCAGTATGGAGAAGTAAAATGTGATTTAAATGTGTCTATTTTTGTCTTTGCTCGGATATAATCTTGATGTAGATTCCAATTTTTTTCTTTTCTTTTTTTTTTTGTGCAGACTAAGCAACGGTCTAATCTTCTAGTGAAGTAACTGTCTCTGGAGAGAACGAGCTGTATTAACATGCAATTTATTTGTTTTACATATTGATTTTTTTGAAGGTTAGTAAACCAGAAAGATAAATCCATAGATTTTTTTTTTATTATTACGAAAAGGACACAACCCTGGTTCAAAATGCAAAATACAAACATTCATTTTACTATTAATAAAGAATATTTGATGGTAAGTTATAGTTTATAACTGTTTCAGATAAAATTCCAGAACAGATATTAATTCCATAGGCTTTTATTAGAAACTAAACATGCACACACAGACTTATTCACTAAAGTGAGAATTGACGGAAACTCAAAGTAAATTCAAAGTGAATTTCAAATTTAAGGGATAAATAGCCAAACCAAAAACACAATTGACTGAAAGCTTTTTTTGTAATTTCACTATTTTGGGCAAAATTCCAAATTTCACTTTAAATTTCGGGAAATTCTCACATTAGTAAAAAACCTTATATGTGTTACATGTACAACACTGGGTCATACCCATTGTTTTGTAAAATGTATACAGCTTCACCTGCAAATGTAAATGTTCTTATAAAAATACTACTGGGTGGATTTGCCACCTGTTTTTATAGCATAGTATAAATTATTTATTAAATTGTAGTCAAATTATTATTATATATAAAAAATATATATATTTATATCTCACTGCCCAAACTTTATTTCAATTCCCCAGGCTTTGATCCTCATCCTGGTCTCATAATGTTCAAGAAAGAGTTCAGATTTCTAGGGATGTTTGAGAAAGCTGCATATTTCCATTAAAGGGGCACTATAAGCGCAAGCTAAAAGGAGTAGTTTCAGTGTATAGATCGTGCCCCTGCAGTTTCACTGCTTAATTATCTGCCATTTATGAGTTAAATAACATTGTTTATGTAGTCCTCGTCACCCCTCTCATACATGTGACCTACAAAGTGTCCCTACACATTTACCGTAAAAAGAGAGATCTAATTTTTAAACTTTCTTTACTGCACAGTCTGTTTAATTTAGAATTTATATTCTACTAATCTGCTAGAGCGTGGAGGAGCCTAAAGCGTGTGATTAAAGTTCAAATAACAGAGCAGGAGATGAAATCTTCTAAAGTAAATGCACTGTGTACCTGATTGAAAATTAAACAGTTTTTTCATTCACAGCCAGGAGAGATGTGGCTAGGGCTTCATAAACAAAAACACATTGATTTAATTCCTAAATGACAGTGAAGTGAGCAGTGAAACTGCAGAACAAAAATAAGGGTGAAAAAGAATACTGAGAATGGAGAGCTCACGTTGCTTGCCCTTTGGTGGAACTCTGCTCAGATCTCAAGCTGGCCTTATCTCATAGATTACAAGAAAAACCTAGGCCATTTGCACGTCAGAATGATCCCACCCCTAAGGGTAGTTCAGATCTTAATGCTGAATGTGTTCCTGAACCTTTAGTGTTAAAACCACCATTTAGGTGGTTGCCCGCCTTAAAAGATAAGAAAAGTTACCTTATTTCCACAGGTGCTGGCCCTGCCACCAATCCACCACCTTGACTGACATCATCAGAATTGATGATCTCAGCCAATCTAATGCTTTCCCATAGGAAAAGCATTGGATTGGCTGAGATCGTCAAGGAGGCGGGACGGGGCCAAATGCCAGCCTTGCCTATCAGCATCTCCTCACAGAGGCTGGGGAAGACATAAGGTCCCTTTCTCATTTTTTTTTTTAATTCTTTATATTTTCTGTGCACAAGACAATACAGATTTTCACAGTGCCACAACGGCATAGGCAAACAGCAATAACAATATGGAGCATATACATGGCATGAGAAAATGGCACAGTTTTTAAGTGTATTAATACATAGGCTAGTTGTGTTGTCTGAATTGTAGTCACAGGAATAAAATAAATGCAGGCATAAAATAGTCAGCGATAAAGACCTCGTTTAGTACGTGTTACCACGGTAACAAGATTATTAGGCAAGATTGAAATGTTGGTCAGTAAGTGAAACTTAACAGTATAGTATGCAGGCTATATTGACTGACTGGGTCTATTAGTAAACAGCTAACTAGTAACAGGCGGGCATGTTTTAGTCTACATATTCGCTAGCAGTATAGTATGGTGACAGCTGTAGGGTGTGCGATATGTCGTGTGTTTACTGCCTAAGTGGTAGTCAATAGTGGCAGCCTGCTAGACACATGTTAAACTCTGGTTAAGCATGTTGTGTGATTTTGTGGCTAGTGTAGATCTGAGTGCTACTTGGCAAGGTGAATTGCCCAGGCAACTTTAAAAAAAAGAGATAAGGGATCACACAGCGTTTGTGTGCCCGCGCCTGAAAATAAAAAAAATAAAATAAAACTGTAGGCATAACAAGAGTAATACATTTCAAGCGGTTAATATCTTGATCTGTCAGGCTGTGTTCGGGGATCTATTAGCTACCGCTGCCGGGATGTGCTACATAGTAGGCTATTACAATACTGTATAGTCCCCTGGGGTCCCCCAGGATGAAGTCCATCTGGGCAGGTCGGCAGGGTGTATTTCACGGTATCTTGTTGTGGTGTGCCATGTCAGGTCTCCTGATCAGAGTGCCATCATTTTCATCAGATCATCCGATTCCTCGTTGGGGCCGTGCAGCGGCCCGCCATGGGTTCCCATGCGGTGTTGTTTCGATGCGTTGGATCTCTGGGCATGATGGGAGTTGTTGAGGTGGGTCTTTGAGCCGGGGTATGGCTGTTCTCAGGATGGAGGGTGTTCTTGGTGTAGCAGCTCTTGTTTTCGGCGGCATTTTCAGTTTCACCATTCTATGCCTGTAAGATGGCAGTTTGGTTCTCCATCGCCTTCCCGCCTTTTTGGGCTGTTGTAGGGCTGTTGGTATTTGCTGTGGGCAGCGGGGTGTGCAGCTTGAGGCAGGCATCGTCGGTGTCCTCTGCCGAAGCTTGAGCTCTATTCTGAGCCAGAAGTCAGTGAGGATTTGCTCCAGGCTGATCAAGGAGCCCTGCCGTGTTGCATGGCAGCTGTCAGGCCGCGTGGTCTCCGCCATCTTTGGCGGGTCTCTTGGCTCTCCGCCCGCTGTCCCTTTCGTTGCTGCCCTATCTGGGAGGACTCCCAGGGGTGGACCGTGATCTCCCCCACCGGTTCCAAGGGGGGGTTGCGGGGAACCCACTTGTAGCATTCAGTCCCCAGGCTGATCCAGGCTGGGAGCTCGGCCGTCGCTCCCGTCCAGTGCACTCCAGGCATCATGCCCTCGCGGGTTTTGCCTGCCGTCTGTCGTCCACCCACGGTCCGCATCACCGGTTTACCGTAGGGGCTGATAGCCAGTAAGTTGTGTGGGTCATTATCTGCCATTTATAGTGGTTTGAGGGTGCCTTTAGATTTTTTTTCACAGAAATTTGTAGGGAGCTTCAGTCAGGCACGTCTTCCCTCCATGACAGTCAGGCCCCGCCCCCCCTTTCTCATTTTTATAATTAGGACCCCCAACTGCTGCTCATGGTTGTTGCTGAGGGGGACAATAGGTCCACTCTTTTATAATTAGAGCCTCCACCTCTCATTATTACTCATTATTGCACTCATTATTGCTAGTATGAGTGGCTTTAAGAACACGTCTTGAACGGACAAGAGTCAACTAAAAAGTAGCATAATGGTGGACAGCCTTCATTTCTTGCTTACAACACTTGTTCTCACACTTTCCTGAATTTCTTAAACTATGATTATTCAGCTTGACCTTGTACTCCAATAATTTCAGCTGCCACAGGCTTCAGCAATTCTGTACTAGGCTTTCATGTTTCAAATATCCTATTCATCAATAAGTTCTAAACAGAGAGGCAATCTACTATAGTAGTTTTTTTTATATAACTCTCAAGTATTTCTTTGCTTTTAAAAAATATATATTTTCTCCTAATCTGTTAATAGCCTTATATTATGTACACTAATCAGCCACAACATTAAAACAACCTGCCTAATATAGCATAGGTCCTCCTCATGCTGGAAAAATACTGATGCCTCAAAGCATGTACTCCACAAGACATCTGAATGTGTACTGTGTACAAGCGAAGTAGGACATCCATGGATAGTATTTGTTGTTCCAACACACCCCACAGATGCTTAATCGGATTGAAATCTGAGGTATTTGAAGGCCATGGCAACACCTCTTTGTTATATTCCTCACACTATTCCTGAACAATTTTTGGTCAGGAATCATCATGGGCACTATTCTGAGGCTACACAGCCTCTACACAGCAAACTACAATACACTGTGTGTTTTTAACATCTTTCTATCATGGCCAACATAATGTTTTTCAGCCATTTGATCTACAGTAGCTCTTCTGTGTGATTGGATCATATGGGCTAACCTTCACTCCCCATGTGCATCAATGAGCCTTGGGCACCCATGACCCTGACGCCTGTTCACTGGTTGTCCTTCCGTGCTGGGTACACCCCACAAGACTTGCTGTTTTGGAAATGCTTTGACCCAGTCATCTAGCCATTACTATTTGGCCTATGTCAAAATTACGCAGATCTTTTTGATTGCCTATTTTTCCTGCATCCAACACATGGAATTCAAGAACTGACTATTGTGACAGGTGTCATTGTAACGATATAAGCAATATTATTCACTTCACCTGTCAGTGGTTCTAATGTTGTGGCTGATCAGTGTATACGTAATACTTATGCAGTTTTTTTTTTTTTTTTAAATAAAGCTAGTTTTTATCATTGTGAAAAATTATTTATATACAAGTGATGGATTCCTGGTGTCTTCTATACAGGGTATTAGTGCTAAGATCGCTGTTATCTGGTTTTATTGAAACCAGTTTTTTGAGTTGGATTTATTTTGAGAACTATATGTTTAAAGAAACAATAAGAAACCCATATTCCTAACTCTATAGTGTCCCTGTCTTTAACTTTATAGGTTATCCCCACCCCAGATGATAAAAGGGTTACACCCCCCCAATATTTTTTACTTAGCTCTTTTCTGCACCAAGACTTCCTTGGTACTACTAGGTCTCCTCTATCTGCAAAGTCATGTCAATGGTGGGACCTAATATGCATGTGCGTTGCTTACCACATGCACATTAAAGCATTCCCATAGGAAAGCATTGAATCAATACATTCCCATGAGTAATTTGAAGATGTTATACATTCTCATGCAAAGCGTGTCCAACATCATTTAATGGAGTAAAACTCCAGGGTTAAACAGACAAGGGCACTGCACCCAGACCACTTCAATTAGATAAATTGGTTTGGATGCCTATAGTGTGCCTTTTGTGATACTCTGTGCTTTGTTTATGATCTGTCTTTCATTGTCTTTAATCTGTGTTGCTCACTACACAACTAGGATACCCTATTGCTCTCAAACTTGACCCAGGGCTTCTCACTTTACGTATCACCATGCAACAACCTTTCCTCTCTTTTGTTATCCTGCCTTTCTTCCTAAATCCTTCCCTATTAGTGCTCACCTCTCCTGACTTCTCTTCTCTCCTTGTTCTCGTTCTGAGTGTTCTCAGTATTCTAATCAACCCTGTACTTCTAGTTTATAAGCAATAATTGTAATCCTTTGACAACTGTGTAATTTGCAAAATATATATGGATATATCTAGTATGTTTTCTTATTACCTTTGTTCCTTATACCTTAAAAATTAAAATAGAAGTTTACAAAAACTTAGGAACCATTTGATCCCATATTATTCTAAATTAAATATATTAACAAGGTCTGAAATAAACTTAGAGAGCCTATGGCTAACTTGACTGAGCATCGTGGCACATGGTCAGTTATGACATCTCTGTGATAATAAATCAATTCAGATCCAACATAAAATGGTCTATTCCATGAGATTTAATATCAATAATCACAATAATAACAGTATTAATAACAATAATACATTCTTCTGTATACCAATTCAATTTCCTGTTAACCAATTTAGATTCCATTATGTTTCAATATGTAACCTCCGGTGTTTCGGTCACAACGCTGAAGGTTGCAAAACAATATAAAGAACATTAACTAAGCTGAAGTATGTTAGCAAATTATAATTTGTCAAGAAAATTTTGTTTTCTCACAACATTTTTCCTTGGGATAAAACAATCTGAAAGTATTATTAATGAAGTATAAAATAAGAAATTGTTGGTCTGGGACCAATCTGTCAAGCAAGACTTGCTCTTTGGTTTCAGAGCCATGTCATATTGCCACGCTTGATATGTAATTAATCACAGTCTGATTACGAAAATTAACTATAATTTAAAATATAAATTAGCATTAAATGACACACTTTAATATTAATTCCAACCAAATGCTTATTTTTGTTTTTAACAAGACTGATATGAGGTCTGCGAAGCAATGTAATTTTGCCTGCCAGTTAAATGAAATTACTTTGAAATTAATATATATTTTACATTCGTTATGAGTCGTTCGGCGTTTTTAACTGCAATGTGTATTCATGTGTGTCTTCTCAGGGATCAGGGAAATGTCTCAAAATAAGATATCACAGAAATATGAAAAAGGTTTATGGACATTTGCAGATATTTTAAAGCTAGATGTCATCTATTCATTTTGATGCATTATGAATTAATTTTTATTTTTTTATTTTTCTTTATTTCAGACTTGTAACTGCCCTGTATACATTTTGTATTGCTTATGTTGCACGGCCTAGGTGCAGTGTCATCATCAATATCTTGCAGGTCTATTAGTCTTACTAATCTCTCCCACCCAGGTCCCCCCTATCTATATGTTAATTATTGGTATAATTTTTTTGTCTATCCACTTTACTCATTTAGTCTTGGAGAGAGCAAGAGCTTCTTATATCTTATATGGTTTTTATATTTTGTTATTCTGTTTATTTGTCTGCCCGATTTAGGGTTAACATCCTAAAAGCATAAATTTTGCCAAAATGGCTGTACTTGTGGAGAATGATTCCCATTAACTTCCCAGAAAACTGGCTGTCCTTACTACACTACTCTTTTGTTAAATTTATTTGGGGGGGCAGGAAACCAAGAGTTAAAATGAAAGTGTTGGCTAGATCAAGACAGGATGGAGGCTTGAGGTGCCCAGAAGCTTAGCAATGCTACAAGGCTACTAGACTATAATTAACTAAGCTGAAGTATGTTAGCAAAGCAAGGGGGCAACCCAAGAAATATGATATAAAATAGAAAAAGCTAAAACTGGGGTTGGAAACTTATCCTCATTATTTTGGGTTGTTGAGGCAAATAAAATATTTATCAGAGAGGCACAAACCAAATCTCAGATACTCAAAGAGCTAACGAGATGGTGGGATAAATTTACAAATAAGAAAGGAATCAAAATAATTGATGCGCTCCCATTCGCAAGTATCTCAGATATGTTAGAGAACATAAAAACAGATATATGAATGTTAAAAGGGCTAAAGGAATTCAAAAACATAATGGTGGAATATAATCTTAAACCTTTCAACTGAATTATGAAGGAATATAACATCCCTCCAGTGAAACATTTAACTATCTGTGAATTGAGAGCTTTTTAGCAAAACACCTCTATAAAAATAAGGGGGAGAATACCATAAACCTTATCAATAAATGGGAAAAAGAACTACAAGCACATATAGAAAAAGAATGGATAAGCTCCCTAGATAAACTAAATAAAAATATACACTGCTTAAATCTGATAGAAACACAAATTAAACTATCAAATAGATGGTATTTAACACTGAGATGCTTAAAGAGAATCTTCCCAGAGTCACCAGACAGATGGTGGAAATGCAATATTGGTGAAGGTAATATGATCCATATCTGGTGGCAGTGCACACCCATAAACAAGTTTTGGAAAGAAGTAATTAAGATAATTTACCAAATAACAGAAATAAAATCACCTCTCAAGCCCGAAGTGGTTTTGCTAAAATTGCACTGGCCATAAATGACAAAAAGAAAGTCTACTTCTGGCAAGAAATT